TCATTTCAAATCGAGCTCCAATTCGAGGTTCCTTTTCACAAAGAGGAAGAGGACGCAACAGTGGTCCAGGAAGAGGACACAACACGAAACTATGTACACACTGTGGAAAAGTCAATCACACAGTGGATACATGTTTTGAGAAATATGGCTATCCTCTTGGATACAAAGTACCGGTGAATCTGCGCTCAGCAAATACAGTTGTGCAAGATTTGAATGAAGAACTCATTACATATCAGAATCCAGGAGTTATGCTCACACAGGACCAATATCAGCGCTTTCTTGGACTTCTTGAACATCACAATCCCAATGAGGTCAATGTACATTCCTCGAACGTGGTTCAAACCACCAACACAGCCTTGACAGCTGATGCAAACAATACTGGTAAGAAATCTTTGTTATGGTTCCTAGACACTGCTGCCACGGATCATATTTCATATGATACAGATCAGTTTACTAATATGAAATCAATTAAACCAATTGCAATTACACTTCCCAATGGTTCAAGAGTCTATGCTAGAGAATCTGGAAGCATTTCTATCTCCTCATTTCTTATGTTGGATAGTGTACTATATGTTCCGGATTTTTCTGTCAATTTGATATCTGCGAACCAGTTACTTAACTCAGCTAATTGTGTACTCGATTTTCATGCATCTGGTTGTTGGATAAAATAGGTACCTACTCAGCAGATGATTGGTACAACTGAGAGGTACAATAGCCTGTTTGTCATGAAGGCTGAGAGATCAAATGATGGTGGAGCCTTGAATAAAAGTGACAGTGAAAGGAAGAAATCACTGGTTTACAGTAATAGTACAGAATATAGAAATAAGGATGTATTTCCAGCCCATGTATTGTGGCATTTTCATTTGGGACATGCTTCCCAAAACGTTTTAAAACATATGCATAAGAGTTTTCCCTATATTGACAGTAGTCATAGTGATGTTTGTGATGTATGCCAATTTGCACACACATCAAAGACGTTTACCCTATACTTGCAGTGTTAGTCAATCTGCTCGCATCTTTGCCTTATTGCATGTTGACATTTGGGGACCGTTTGCAATTTCATCTATACATAATCATCATTAATTTTTAACCATAGTTGATGATTTTTCGAGGTTTACTTGGACTGTGTTGATGAATTCAAAGGGAGAAACTCGTGGTCATCTGCAGTCTTTCATTAACATGATTGAGAACCAGTTTGAACATCTTGTTCAAATTATTCGTTCGGACAATGGCAAAGAATTTATCATGCCTGTTTTTTATTCACAAAAAGGCATATTACATTAAAGAACATGTGTAGAAACACCACAGCAAAATGGTGTCACTAAGCGAAAGCACCAGCACATTTTAAATGTGGCACGTGCCCTTCTCTTCCAAGCACATCTTCCATTAAATCTCTGGTCCTATTGTATATCCCACGTTGTCCATATCATAAATAGACTATGCACTCCTCTGCTTGCTAATAAAACACCGTATGAAGTTTTACACGGTTGTGTTCCCACCTTTTCTCATCTGAAGATTTTCGGTTGCTTGTGCTATGCTAGTACCTTGACTGCTCATAGATCCAAGTTTTCCTCAAGAGCACGTAAAGGTATCTTCCTGGGTTATAAAGAAGGAACCAAAGGGTACATTGTTTTGGACATTATGTCCAGAGAAATTTTTGTCTCACGCAATGTTACTTTTATGAAATGACATTTCCCTTTCAATCACAGACCCATACACCCTCACATCCTACTACTAATATAGCCCATCCTATCACACACCAACCCATTGACTTTTTCGATTTGTTGCATCCATCCAACCCGCCAACAAATCCACAAACAAATCCAAACTCGTCCTTAGCTGTTTCCCATGCACCACTCCCTGCTATTACCTCACAAACAGATACCCTACCTATGCGTCGTTCCACAGACAACACCAACAACCACATTATCTCCAGGATTTTTATTGCAACTATTCACACACTCAATCACCTTCATCTACCTCATCTACTTCCCACCTTCTTTCTTCTGTCTTATCTTTTGCCAAATGTTCTCATCCTTATACATCTTATTGCCTCAACATCAGTACTGATGTAGAACCCTCTTCCTACTCAGAAACTGCCACACATGTTTGTTGGCAAAGGGCTATGCAAGTTGAGCTCGATGCTCTTGCTAAGAATAACACCTGGATAGTAGTGGATCTTCCTGCTAATAAGAGACTCATTGGTTGTAAATGGGTTTTCAAGATAAAACGCAAAGCTGATGGCTCCATCGAACGTCATAAAGCTCGCCTAGTTGCTAAAGGGTTTACCCAGCTAGAGGGAGTTGATTTCTTTGATACTTTCTCCCCTGTAGCTAAAATGACTACCATTAGAGTTCTTCTCTCTGTCGCTGTTGCCAAAGGATGGCACTTAGAACAGCTTGACGTCAATAATGTATTTCTGCATTGAGAACTAAATGAGGAAGTTTACATGTCTCTTCCTTCTGGATTCCTTGATTCAGTTAAATCCTCTAAGGTCTGCAAGCTACAGAAATTGATCTATGGTCTCCGACAAGCTAGTCGGCAATGGTACGCTAAACTCACATCCGTTTTGTTATCTTTTGGTTATACTCAATCTCCTTCTGATCACTCTTTATTCATCAAGTCAAATGGTGCTCTGTTTACTGCTTTACTGGTGTACGTGGATGATGTTGTTCTTACTGGTAATGATTTCAAAGAGATTGAATATGTTAAGGCTCAACTGGATGATCGGTTCAAGATTAAAGATCTCAGAGCTTTGTGTTTTTTCCTTGGGTTTGAAATTTGTCGTTCTTCGAAAGGCATTGTTATGAATCAGCGTAAATATGCTGTTGAAATCATGGCTGATTCTGGTTTATTAGGTGCCAAGGCAGTTTCCACACCCATGGATTCCTCTCTTAAGTTGCAGAAGGCATAAGGTTCTCATTTCCATGATCCCTTGAGTTACATACGCTTAGTGGGACGTCTTCTGTATCTCACTAACACTCGTCCTGACATCAGCTATGTCGTTCAACAGCTGATCCAATTTCCGTCCAATCCCATGGATACTCATACGCATGTTGCACTTCGGGTAGTTCGATATTTGAAGAATTCTCCTGGAAAGGGTCTTTTTTGCAGCCGATAATGATCTAGTCCCTACTGGTTTTTCTGATGCCGACTGGGCTGCTTGTGTTGATACACGACGCTCCATCACCGGCTATTGTGTCTTCTTGGGTTCTTCATTGGTTTCATGGAAATCCAAGAAACAGACTACCATCTCTCGATCCTCATGTGAAGCTGAGTATCGGGCCTTAGCTGCTGTCACGTGTGAAATGCAGTGGCTTCATTATTTGTTATGTGATTTACATTTATCTCCTTCTGATGCTTCCTGTAATTATTGTGATAACCAGTTCGCCATCCATATCGCTCACAACCCAACATTCCATGAATGCACCAAACACATCGAACTCGACTGCCATCTGGTCCGAGAAAAGATTCAAACTGGTTTAGTTCGTTTACTTCCTATACCTTCTGTTGTTCAACTTGCCGATGCTCTCACTAAACCTTTGAAGCCTTCTCCTTTCAAGTTTCTTGTTGGCAAGTTGGGACTTGTTGATATCCACCTCCCAACTTGAGGGGGGGTGTTACGGTTAAAATTTTTAATTTAATCCAGCTGTAATGTATTAACTGACTCTTGTTATCTGAGCAGTTATTTTTGTTAGTTTGTTAGCTTAGATCGTTTTTCAGTTAGTAGGTTTGTTAGTACGTGACTAATAGCTTTCGTTCTTACTCTTTTGTATAACTACTGATATAAATATCAGTAAACCATAGTATCAATACAGTTTTTCAGATTCTATTCATTTTATGGATTCAAGTTGTAATACAAAGAGGTAATTAGGATCAGTTTCCAGAAAAAAAAAAAAAAAAAAAAAGAATATTCTCTCACTTATATAAATTTCTCTTCTCTCATTGGAAAGATATCTGAGATCACACACTTTTATCAGCTGTTACTCTGTCGAAATTTAAAACTACCTCAATCACAACCATCTCCACAACTGCATTTATGATGACTCTCCAAAAGCCCTGGTCTATACCACTACCCCTTGAGCAACCTTACATGCATATATTATACCACTTGAGGGAAATAGACCTAGCTCTCATCCCAATATAGCTCAAAACCAAATACAAAAAATTAAGTAATTTTTTTTTTAAAAAAAAAAGCTCAAATTTAATATATATATATATATATGATTGAATTTTCACGTTATTATAAGAGACGGGATGTTGGCATGAACATTTCAAGTTATGGCTCATCTTTAGTTAGCAGATACAGTAGTTATATATATATTTCCCTTGTGCATACACAAAAAACAATCAATTTATTTAAAAAGAATATAAAGTGAATTTAATTAAGAGTAATAGAAGTATCATGTAACAGGATATTTGTTGTATCATATCACAGACACAATATTTATGGGGTCCACCAATATATGTATTTTTTTTTTTTGAAAAAAACAACTTAATAAAAAAATGTGCACGTGTCTGCAGGAACGGGAATGGAGGTCCTATAACAGGACTATCGCAAAACCCTTTAATTAATTAGTCACAGTTCTAGACGACTTGAATTTAATTTATACAATTCATGTCTTATAAAAAAAGGAGCTGTAATCCAGAACATATTAGATTTAGATCCCATCATCGTATTTAGCATTTCTATTTTAAGTATTAACCTATTTTATTTGGACTTGACTTGTTTCCAACGTTGATCTTCAAGACACGGCCATATGACCCCTAAAAAAATTTGTAATTAAAAAACATATTTCCTTCTTAAAGGTTTTGAGTTGCGGTTTGCAACTGTAAATTGTGACAACATAACATTGCGGTTGAGGCAGTTATTACAGCCTTAGGTGACAGCTAAATTGATCTGAGTCCACTGCATTAACTGTAATTAATAATCGCAATCTTTGAATGTAACTTCTATATAAATCATTTTTTCGGATTCATTTCCACAAACGAAATTAAACATGGCTTCTTCATATTCTAGTTCAATTTTTTTCCTGCTTTCTCTCTGCTTAGCCTTTAGCACAGTTGCTTTGGGTGGAAATTTCTACAACGATTTTGACATTCTCTATGGAGATAAACGTGCTAACATAAAAGATGGAGGCAAAAGTATGACCCTCACAATGGACAAATATTCTGGCTCTGGCATAGTATCCAAGATTGAGTATTTGTTTGGACGATTTGACATGCAAATCAAGCTTATACCAGGGAACTCGGCAGGCACTGTCACTACATTTTATGTATGATTTGTTCCAAACCCATCATTAATTAATTAAGTTGCTTATTATATTCTCTCCCATCCATGCGTTTACACACATACACACACATATTGCATGCATATTTACACAGATTTCTATTTTAATTATATGCAGCTAAGTTCTCAAGGAGATCACCATGATGAGATTGATCTAGAGTTCTTGGGCAACTTGTCCGGTGATCCATATCTTCTCTCAACCAATATATATGCCAATGGTAATGGGGGTCGCGAGATGCAGTTCTATCTTTGGTTTGATCCCACACAGGACTTCCACACCTATTCTATTGATTGGAATGCTCAGCGCATAATGTAAGTAACAAAATATACATGTGATATTATAATTCTTTTCCTGGAACTATACGCATGTAGATTGTTAGGTATAATATACAATGGGTAGTTAATTTTTAAATCAGTATAAGATATTAAAAGAAGCCTTATATTTAATCTTGGTCATTGATTCATCTGTATCTAACGTGACTCACATAGCTAAAAAATTAGATAGATTTGATATAAATGATATCAACAATCTAAATTAAGAGTATAACTTATACAAGTATAAAATAATCTGACCATAATATAAATATGTTAGGGGTTGATATAATAAAATAATTCACATATTATTTATCAAAAGAAAATAATAATTCGTATATCTTTTGTCTATCTGCTTAAGATTTTGGAGAATAAGTTCGTGACATTATATCAAAGTCTCCATGAATAAGTGGTCTAGGATTTAATCTTTGTCGCATCATTCTTTTAATAAAAATAGGTTCATGACATATATAACTTTAACTATATGTATGTTTTGTGTTTGCAGAATATTGGTGGATAACATACCCATAAGAGTGATGCATAACAGGCAAAGCATTGGTGTTCCATTCCCAACAAGGCAACCCATGAGAGTTTATACAACTCTATGGAATGGAGACTCGTGGGCAACAAGATGGGGGCAGGTGAAGCTCGATTGGTCACAAGCTCCATTCATAGCAGGTTTCAGAAATTTCAATGCCAATGCATGCATACCAAGATCTGGGGCATCTTGTGTTGGTTTCAATGGTGGACGAAATAAAGGTCTTAGTGCTGAAACCAGGAAGAAACTCAAAGAGATCCATTCAAAATGGGCAGTTTACGACTATTGCCGCGATTTTAGACGATATGCTCATGGTCTTCCATATGAATGCCGCAAGAACAATGTTCACTCAGCTTTGGAATAAAGGTTGCAATCATGCTGCCTCATCAATATTGTTATGTGCAAACCATGCATCCGAGATGGTAGCTTATTTGGTTTTCCTTCGATTAAGAGATTTTTACATTATCATTGAATGTATATTATTTCAAGTGTACGAGTCATCATTGTTTCTTATTTTAATTATATTTATTTTTTGGTTGATAAGCTGGAGGTATCCCACCAATGTTTTACACGTTTAAATTTTAATAATATTGAAAAAAATCTTCTAATTTAACAATACTTGAGAAAATATATCTTTTCATGAAAAGGAATTTCAGTTGAACAGTTACATTTTACATAACATCTGATGTGCAGTAAAATAAATTTTACAAATTAAGAATTTGTACCGGTTATATATCTTATGAGAAATATAAGAATCATGTTGCAGGAATGGCACTGTTCATTCCTGCAACAAGGATACGGCGTCGTATCCTGACTTTGGTCTGACTTTTTTTTTAAGCGTGGGACCCACACTTGATTTGTGTGTGTAGGAAAATGCTCTTGTCATGTCAAATGACAAAAAGGGAACCCATATATTATACAATATATTTATATATATATATGGGCTTTGCATCTCTGTATTCATTGCAAAATCTTATTGAATGCAATGGACACAAAGCAAGTGAGTCTCATTTATTTTTTTAAAAAAAAAAAGCATACCAAGATACCAAACCGTATTTTAATATTGTTACAGAATTTTTGTTTACAGTGACAGAAAAACTATAAAACCACATATATATATATATATGACTTATTTATTTTTATATAAATGTAATAAAAATAATACTTATGCAATAAAAATAAAAAATATATTTCAATTTTTTTAAGCTGCTGACCTAACCTGATAATCATTTAATGATTAACTGCTAGCCCAATATACACACTGACATTAAATCAGTAAATGATAAAATGACCAAAACAGAACATAAGAACTACCATATTAATATGCAAAAAAACAAAAAAAATCCCCTGCCAGACGAATGTACTAGCAAAACCACACTGACTCTTTTATTTTTAGTTTAAAGTTTATGGCATATAAGATAAAATTATGTCTTATACACATATTAAAATGTGTAGGGTTTATGTGAAGCTACGTAAAAAGAAAAGAAATAAAAGAAAAATTAAATCTCATATATTTTTATGTGTGTAAAAAATAATTTTATCTTTTATAACAAGAGAAACTTTAACTCTTTTATTAGGAGAAGGTTATATTTATAAAAATTTATTTACAAATTCTTACAAACTAAACACTGATCATACACTCTTAATTAAAGTCTGATCAGTCATGTTTAGTATAATTTATGAGGAAAAAAATTTGTTAATATAACTCCTCCCTTATTTTTATTATCAAATTTCGATCATCACTTTTGCCGACTACCTCATCTTTTGGGTTACGCTTCTTGGGAAAAATTTTAAATACCACCGTCGTAGGTAGATCCTTCCAATGGGAGCGTGCCGCGTTAGCATGTGTTGTATTAAAGAAAGAAAGAAAAAAGTTACTTAGATACTTTACACTAAAGTGTTATTAGTAAAACTTAATATAAAATATGGACTTTATTAATCTCATGTGACATAAGAGAAGTTCTCTTATGTCATAGAGATAGTTATGAGTGAGACTCACTTACTTAAAGAAAAAAAAAAACATGAAAATTGATATATGTGTAGGAGAGAAAAATACTCTCCTAAAGCATAAATAATATTTTCTCATAAAACATACTATTGAACCTAATTTTCAATACCACTATACTCAAAATGCCCTCCGCTTCTTGGGTACAGCTGGTCAAAATTTAAGTCTACCAAGAAAATGAAAATAAGAATCAAGAAATAACGTCTTGGTAGGAAAAAATATTTATTGTTTCTCCGTAAAACTAAGGGTTTTATTATTCTCCTTCAACATAAGATAAGTATCTTATGTTGTAGAGATAAAATAGGTGGGTCCCACCATTACAAGAAAAAAGAAAAAAGTGAGGTGCGAAAATCGAAGTGAGAGAGTAGAAGAGAAGTAATCTTATATAAAAGGAGAGTAATATTTTCCTAAAACTAATCATATGATTTTGATGCTTGTTGTGCTAAAAATATTTACAAATTAAAGTTTCTTGGTTAATTTTTTTTATACAATTAGTGAAAATTGACACATAACCTAATACAAACTATCAAACCGCTCGTCACTAAATCAGTTCTAATAAAATTTGAAAAATTATAACAAAAATAAAAAACAATGTGAACGAATTTTACTTCAGATGAAAATTGTATGCATCTATTATGTACACATACTCGAACCAATTCCTTCAAGGTGTGTTAGGACTTTGGCCTTTGGGGAGTTTATTGTAGATTCAACGTGTCATTTACTTGAGTTCCCTCCATAAGTGTTTCAATTTAAAAGCACTTTTCCTATATAAACAGAAACACGAAAAAGAAAAGGGAAGCCACAACATAACCTTTGACCCCAACACACATCATCTTTATCCACCATTCTCGTTGAAAGAACCAGCAACTAGTCATGCCTTCAGCTCCAAGAAGGAAAGCAAAAAATGGCAAGAAAAACAGAACTTTGACTACACCCAACAACCATTCTTCACCTTCTGTTCAACTCCAAGGTGATGATCACTCTCTTTATTATTTCCCCATCTACCATCCCCACCCACCTGTCTTCCCTTTTTCTCTTTATGTCTCTTTGTATCTCTGTCTGTTCTATTTACATCCTTGTTGGGTATCCCTTATGTTTTGAGTTAATTTCCTTAATCTGCCTTTCACACCCTCCTTTTGTTTTCTTGTTTCTCATTCGACAACAATTAAGAAACTGGATTAGGCAACAGTGATCTTAAACCCCTTAAGGATGTGGTAGTTGAAGTGGATAAAAGCAAGATAAAGGGGCGTTCTTTATCTGCATTGTCTACTGTTTGTGCAAATCATAGCAAAATGGAAGGATCTTTAAGTGAAGAAGCCCAGAAAGTAGAATCTTTAAGTGAAGATAAGGAGGTGAGTGTTGAAGTTGATGCTGATGATGGCATATCCAAGTCTCTCAGCGATGAACATGCAACACAAAGTGAGGAGAATAGCGGGCTTGTTGAGTCAGGCAAAGTGGAAGAGACACAAGATGTTTCTGAGGAGCCTAATGATTTTAGTGATCTAATAAAAGCTGCTCAAGTTGACAATATAATGGTCTCAGATACTGTAGAATTGGAATTGAAGGAAGATCAAGGAAAAGATTTTCAATCTCCTGAAGATACTGGTGGGATTTTTTCAGATCATGGGGTAAAGGAAACAGAATTGCCTCCTTCAGAGGATAACAATGAGCTCTCTTCAGTTTCAAGAAATGAGGGCTTACAAGAAACTGAAGAGGTTGAAACAGTTAATGACTTAACTGTTGCTGAAGAGGAGAAGAATGATTTGTCTTCAGTTGTAACAGAGGGGTTACTTAAGGAGGGTGAAGAACCAAATGAGATCTATAATTTTTCCTCTCAGCCTCCAACTGATGTGGTTTCAAAGGAAACTCAGGAGGCAAGTATTCCAAAATCAGACGAGAGTGACAAGGTTCCTTTAACCATAACAGGAGAAGTACCAAAGGGAATTGAGAGATCATTGGTGCCATCTATGGTTGAGAAAGATGAGGAGCATTTAGATGCCCAAGAGTCATCCTATGAAACTGCTAAGGATTCTTTTCAACCATCGGCAAATGTTACTGATGATGAAAGCACTAGTGCCACTGTGAAAAACCAGACTGAAGCACCTAGAAGCACTGAAAATCCGGTTGGTAATTCATACTTTATGATAATTTCATTTAATAAAGTTTTAGAAGGTTGTCTTCTTTTTTTTATTTTATATGCGATTTGTTTCAAGGTTTAAATGATTATACTATTCTTTATTTTTGTCAGACCATTGTCCCTCCTGTGACTCAAAGGCAATACACCTCTTGGAAGAGTTGCTGCGGACTCTTTGAAATTCTGAGTCGTGGTGATAGATAATTCAAGGTGAGTAAACCTCAATTAATGGTTTTTTGCTTTAGGCCATAATAAATGTTAAATAATTGACCAATCTCTTCATTTGGATCTGAAGTATTATTGTTATTAATTGTCACTATGATAAAATATTAACTTTATGGGGATATGGATACCTTTTGTTTTGTCGGTTTGACTTGGAGACCTATTTGCATACATTTTCAAAAAAATTGCCTTACCCACTAAAGAGTATAATCTAGTTGGTATCAGAATGTCTTTAATTGTTTATGTTCTGTTAAATCTGAAACGAAAAAAAAGTGGATTTGGAAATAACAATGGTTTAGAGCTCTCGTGCTTTCTCAAATCAAATTTTACAACTCCCTTCAAACAGGGTTACAATCTATTTAGAATTAGGCTCTTGAGTTGTAACTTTGCTTTGTGGCCATTTTCTAACTTGTGAATCGTTTTGTTTATTTGATTTTTCAACATTATAGGGCAGAGAATCTTCAAAGGTTAGAAATTGAGCTAAGGTATTGAGGCATTGCACAATCATAGGCTGTGATGGCACCCTTCTAAAGGAGTCAAAATTTGTTCTGTTTGTTTACTTTGAGCCTCACATCAAGAGGCATGTATTGTTATATGTTGTAGTTTGCTTTACTGATTGGTTCCAGAGTGGTTATTTTGTTTCATTTCCAAAAAAATGTATGGTACATTTCAGTTGTGGTATACGGTACACTTCCATTAATTACAATCAGCACATTATATATGAATTAAGTTCATATGTGTTTCTTTAAGCTTCTTCCCTACATTTTCGTATAGAGATAGAAATGCCTTTTAAAATTCCAATTCATTTTAAATTTAAGCAAGTTACTATGTGATCATATGCCTTCTTGATGTCTGCTTTTACTTTTTGAACAACGTAAAAATTATATGAAAAAAATTAAGCTCCGTCCGTAATTGATGTTAGCATAAGAACAAAATTATATGAAAAGGTTGCACCTTACGCTGATTTCTTAAGGCACTGCATAACGTTGACTTCCATGTTACCTTAAATTGGAGACTAATTTGCTCGGTTATTCCTTTCTATTTTTATATTAAAAATCCTCCAAGCCATGATGAATAATGAATTGTCTTATTACTCATAAAACCGATAAATTCAATTTTTTTTTTAACAAACTGTTTCAGAAACAAATTGTTGCCTTTCTCGCTACGAGTGGATCCTCAAACATACTCCTATCATTTCATCAAAGAATCTTCTTCCTAAAATAAAAATAAATTAATTATATTTATATATTCTTCTAATTTCTATTGTGCTGTGCTTTACTGCTTGGATCCCGTATAATTAGTTTTTCGTTTCACAATGAGAGGGAGGCGAAAAATTTTGTATGTTTCAGTCTCTGTTACATTCTAAACTTCCGTGAACTGAAAATGTTTATTAAATGAATTTTACATACACTATATTTATATCCTACATAAGGTTCTATTGATTCTATCTCGTTGCCCTATGTTTTGTAGCTTGCAGATATATTCATAGCCGTTAGGTTTTTACACATGATTAATGTTATATAATCAGACTTTCTTCACACAAAAACCAATTAAAAACATAAATGAGTGCTTAAGAAAATTATATTGCAAAAAACGCTCGGCCATTCAATTCTCATTGGGTGAGGTTAGTCTATGAATATTACTTTTTGGTTTATACATCAAAGCCGAGGGTTAGAACAGGCTGTTATTATGCTATGAAAGCATAATTCTACGTTGTTTCTAAGGAAAATTAATATATGAGAAAAACGGAAAAATACCTTCTAAATTTTAGCATCTAACCCATATTTAGGTCACACCTGACCGTATTAGCTAAGATAGGTAGTTAAAAATGTCTGATCTCGTAATTAATGAGATTTGAAATTGATAAAAATTGAAATTAGAAAAACAGTTTTTGATGCCTCCTTATATATCTTTTCCACTGTATAAATGACATAAAAATTCCAATTAAAATGCTACAATATCACAAAATTTCGGTTCCCAAGCAGTCAACAGTAACTAAATATCTACCTTAAGCTATCTCAACGGTAGCGTAGCAAGAGTACCTATCTAAAATGCGTACTCGTTTGGCATTGATCTTTAGTTCCACAAAATAGGCTCATGGGTCGCTTTAAATTAAAGCAAAACGCTAATAGTACTAGTCAACTACGACAGAAACAACTTTAAAAGTTTAAAGAAAGGATGCAAGCAAACGTCACCATGAAGTTTACATAAGTGATAAGCCAAAGCCACCACCAATAAGTGGAAAGAACTTTCAACCAAATACGAATTCTTGGAGAAACAAACACTACAAATGGGGGTATAAGCATGTAAATGAACAAGCAAAAACAGATAAACATCCGTGTATGAGTGCATTCCAATAGTGGCATCAAACCCATCAATCAGAACTAAAATGGCACGCACCAATAACTGACAAAAATCCAAAAGTAAATAACAGTAAGTGATATCATCTAACCATCACAGAGGATTCACAAGCTAGGTTCTACATGTGTTCTATGTTCTAACACATGCAGTGAAATTTACCATGAAAAAGACCAATAGCAGAGAAGTATCAACTTCAGAAACTAAGCAATGACCATGATACCAAGTGAGCCGCCCAAAACTGTTTTTAGCCTCCACGCTAATAATGATCAAACCCTCAACTTTTCAATCTATGTATTTAATCCAAACTTAGAAAGGAACTACAATATACTCATAGTCATTACAACAAAAATCTAGTAAGAGTAAGTTGACCAGAGAATTGCTCCAACACACAAAATGGTTTGATACTCAAAAAGAGCAACTAACAACCAAACAAGTAAGCCTTTTGACATTAATCAAAATTCATAGGCTTTCAAAACAAAAGCCGACATTATTTGATGACCAGCAAAACTGAAGCATGTATGTGACTAAAAACATCATGAATCTAACCTCTACAATCTCCCATTCAAATTCCCTCCTTCCTTGGTTACTCTCTGGTCACAAAATCACAAACGTTTCCCATGGCACACATAGATTACAGCTGCTCCTGCTACAACAGCTCCTGTAGCTGCCACCAATGGCCACTGTAACTTCAACCCATTCCCTTCACCATGAATGCCATTTACACCTCCATTGACAGTCTCAACAGACTTCTCATTCAGCGAACTGATCACCTTCTCAGCTTCCACTATTTCCTCCCGCAATTGAGCAATATTAGATTCCAAACTAGCTACTTTCTCCTCAGACTTTCTCAGTGCTTCCTCCAAGTTCAATTTCCCCCTCTCCTCCAATTCAGATTTACTCTCAGCAATGACCTTCTCCATATCCTCAACCTTCAGCCTGAACCCCCTTATTTCCCTCTCCTTTTCATCAATGTTATCTCTGAACTCCTCCTCAACCCGGATCCTCTTGTTCCTTTCCTCAATTTCCTTAGTTTCCAGAACCCCAATTTTCCTCTCCAAATCTCTCAACTTTGTTTCACTCTCCACCTTTACCTTCTTCAACCCTTCCATTTCCCTCTCCAGATACTCAACCCTAGACTCCTTCTCTCCCAAAACCTTCCTCAATTCGGAAGCCTCCATCCTGGCTTCCTCTGCAGCATTCATCTCTAATATGGAATCATGTTGGAGCCTCGCCAACTCAGTTTCCAACTCAGCTGCCCTAGCAGCAATAACCTCAGCAGATTTCTCGAATTCATGCAACCTCAGCACCTCTCTCTCCATTCCTTCCATCTCTTTCCTCATCTTATCATCACTGCTTCGTAACCCCTCAAGCTCCATCTTCAACTTCTTGATTTCCTCAGATCTATCAGTGTTTTCACTCAACAATTCATCTGTTGGTCCCAACTCTCCTAACTCTTCCAACGCCTTCATCTTCATAACGAATTCTTCAGAGTACTGATTGTCAACACCGTTGTTGACAAAGCCATCTTCCGCCATGGTTAATTCTGCAGAAACAAGGAGAAAAAGCATAAAAATCGAAATATACATAAATCAACCAAGCAAGACAGAAATGAAAATCAAGGAGAACACCGTTTGATTTCCAGAGATAAATAAAAATAAAAAGTTACTTATGAAAGATCCATGGATCATATTATACTAGGAAAGAGGGGGGGAAAATTGTCCTATTATTTTGAATAAACAAAGAGAAAAATTAAGAGTAGCATAGTGGGAGAGAAACCCGAAGAATAGTGCGGTGTAGAGGATGGAGAAGTTTGAATTAGGAAGAAAATGGAGGATGAATTTTCCGGGAAAAAAGGGGAAGATTTTCCGGGAAAGCGACAAAAGGAGGCAAGCCTTTGTTGTATGAAAAAGGCTTGGGATATGAGGAGGACTAGGGTTTCTGCGCTGTCTGCGTGAAAATATCTTCAACTTTATAATTTTCTTTTCATTTTTTTTTTATTTTTATGTTTTGTAAATGAATATCATTTTCACTTTTTTTCAGAAAAGGCTTAAGCGATAACCAACCCACGGTTCAGATTTGAAATGCTCTTCTGGGTTGGGCATGCATGCTTGTGATGTCAATGTCGATTGGGTATCGGGTATTCCATTTCCATCCACCGTTTTATGATCGGATTCGCAAACTCTTTAAATAGAGATAGTTTTTTTTTTTTTTTTTTTTTTTTTTTTTGAGTTTCGTTGAAATATTCCGACCGATTAATCCTTGAAGATGTAGAGATTATCGAATTGAGTTTTGTCTCTACCAACAAAATATTTTTCATACACACCGCCAGCGAAATATTATAGGATTTTATTTTTCTTATGTTTGTGTCATGCAACACACAAAAAGTGGGTGGGACTCGTTTTTTTTATTTTCTCTCTCTTCCTTTTTAGTGGGTCTCATCCACTTTTTGTGTGTTGCATGAGACAACTTGTGTCCTGCAACATAAGAAAAATAAAACCCTATATTATATAAGAAATATTTACAAACTTTTTTGCTTACAAATTCTTCTAACCAAATCTTAACATTTGAATTCCATCAATTTAATAGATATAATTTATGAAAATTAATAATCAATTAAATTATAATTATGACCCAATAAATAAAGGGTTTGATTTTTGTCAATTTAAATGACATAAGTTATGTCATTTTAGAAGAGAGATAAACACAAAAAATAAAAATCATAAATGAAAAAATCAAATGTTAATATATAATTAAAAGAGGTTGTAAACAAAAATAAATTATAAGTATATTGTTTCTCATATACAACAGCGACACTAAGTTTTTAAGGTACTGTTTGGTTCAGGAGAAATTTTTTTTTATTAGGGAAATGGTTGGAAAGTGAGTTTGGTAGGAAAATGTAAAAAAAGTTGTTTGGTTGACCGAAATATTACCAGAAAAATTTATTTAAATATGCAAAATATATGTTCGAGAAAAACTTTACACCTGTTTTTTCATTTTCCCAGATATCTCAAAATACCACATCTCAAGTGGTATTCTGTACCAGTGAATTTCATCCAAAAATCAACACGAAAGTCATTTTCCCATCTATCTTATTTGCCTAGTATTTTTTGAAAAAACTTGAACCAAACGTAATATTTTTCAATATCCGCTTACATTTTCCCATCAATCCCAAAATAAACCTTCAACCAAACATTACATAAACTATAACCTCATACAAATTATCACCGCTCACCCATTCTTAATGGCTTTTCTTCTTTGTGATATACTTTTGACTACAAGGCACATGTCAACACTTAAGATATTATCTTCAACTCTTCTTTCAATTTCAACACGACAACAGATGTGGATCTCACATTATTAATTCTCCTTTTTTCTCACCACCATTGGAAGTAATTGAAGTATTCTCATTGAACATGTTCAGGTCATATAAGATTATTTCAGTCGTCTAAAAATAAATTAACAATGACGAGAGAAAAAAAAATTTAAGAGTTGAGATAGAAAGTGAGGAAAAAATAACAGTTAATTTATCTAGGGATCAATTCCACTTCTTACATTCATCTTTCTCAAACAATTCAAACGCACAACGAAGGACAAACCATACAACAAAGATAATTCCTAGAATGCAAGAGCAACATGTCGGCGAACGTCATGTTTGTAGGCTAAAATGGGCACACACACAAAATATTATTTTAATAAAAATTTATAAAAACATAACTATTTTGAATCAATTTATGTATCTATTGTATTTAATTATGCTGTTAGTAGGTGCATCAAGTCGCGCCTCACACGGGCTCACCTATGCAAAGTTGCCCTCCACATAGGCGCGACTAGTTCAATGACGACACATGGCATAAAAAAAAATAAAAAATTTGATCGTAAAATTTTGAAAAGCCATAACTTTCAACTCAAATATTTGAATCAGGTGATTTTTTTTAATCCGTACAAATTTTCGACATCTAAGAAATGAAATCTCATTGAAGGGGATTTAGTAGGAAAAAAAAGTCAATTTTTTTTCAAATTTGAGATATTTTATTATAAAACTTCTGAAGGACATAACTTTCGAATAGGATATTCGAATCAGGTGTTTTTTTGTTTCCACATAAATTTTTGACATCTGCACAATGATATCTCATTAAAGGTGGTTTGGTCAAAAAAAATTCCAATTTTTTTTTCGAAATTGAGAATTTTACCTTAAAACTTCGAAAGCCCATAATTTTTGACTCTAGTGTCCGAATCAGATGCTCTTTTTTTTATTTCATATAACTTTTCAAGAGTTACGCATGGCAAATACATGTATCCGTAGGGGATTTGGTCAAAAAAAAATTCACAAAAAATGTTTCCTTGTGCCCAGTTTGGCATATTTTATCTTTGTGAATAATGTTATTTAAATTTTCACTTTTCAACAATAACAAATAATCCTCTGAGAATTTTTCAATATGTAGATCTCAAAAAGTTACATAAAAAAAAAAAACTTAATTCGGACTCTCGAGCTAAAAGTTATAGTCTTCCAAAGTTTAATGTTAAGATTGAGCTTATGTAACTGATTACATGGACTATTGCTCAGATGTCCGAATTTTTTTTTTTTTACCAAATCTTCTTCAATGAGATATTACTGCGTACATCTCAAAAAGTTATGTGTAATAAAAAAAACCTGATTCCAACACCTGAATCGAAAGTTAACCTTCCAAAATTTTACGATCAAACTGTTGACTTTTTTATGCCACATGTCGTCATTGAACAAGTCGCGCCTATGTGGGGTGTGATTTTGCATAGGTTGCGCCTACTAGGGGCAGGGGCACGATTAAGTGCAATCAACCCATAAATTGATGCAAAACAACCATATTTTCGTAATTTTTTATTAAAATAATAATATATTAATCTTCCCCCCGCGCTGCATTTCTTTGACTAACATGTTCTTTCTTACCACTTACATATACTGGGTTTTTCTTATCATTGATATTATTACATTAGGTTGGAATATTTAAAAAATCAATTCATAATATATTACTTATGCATTTAGTCTATAATCAATAGCTAATATTAATTATACAAATAACATTAGTAGGGAACAAATTAAATTATCTTCATTTCATCAATTTTGAATAGTACATAATAATTTAGATAATTAAAATTTTAATACTGACACGTGTCATTGTAACCGCTTGTATGAAAAAGTAGTGGGAATTGAAGGGGGGTTTTTCAACTAATAATTGACCTGTGTTATTTGCTACCGTTTGCATATTATTAATACTACTGTGTTTTATATAATATTATGTAATATATCGATACATGTATAGTCCTTTTCTTTAGCAACTATTTGGTCCCAATCCAACAGGCCCAAGTTATCCTTCCAATCCAATTCTTATTGAGTATGCCTGAATGATCTTATGTAAAAAAAAAAAATTAAACTTAGAAGCTTATAATTGTATATTAGAACGAATGAGTTGAATACTGGTTGTGGTTGTGATAGAACGAATGAAATGGTCTTTGGAGGTAAAATTGCAGGTTATGCAGCGGCTTTAGCATGCAAACAAGTAACAAGTTAAGTATTCAGGATAAATGATGGTGATACTTTGTGTCCTGTGAGGCTGTGATGGATAGTGAGGATAAGCATTGTTGTGCGCTATGCCACACTGCTAAATGTCAGGCGCAAGAAGCTTTTTCATATGGTGTTCAGTGGGTTCATGATTCTTCAAAATGATGAAAACATAGTGACTGTGACTGTGATAGTTCCAGAAAGTTTGCAAGTTTCCGCAACGTGTGCTGGAATTGGATTGCCAGGATGCGGTGCTGGATCTCCAAAACAGTATAGTGACAGACAGGAGTATAGATTACTCAGATCACAGGCTTGGTTTTTTTATCCTTAGATCGGATTACCTGCATTTCTTTAGTTTTTATTTTATTTTATTTATGGGTGTTATTTTACTCATGTTACATTATCATGCATACACAAAATGCAATATAAGTCCCACTATGAAACAATTTTTCTTTCGTGTAATGTGAAAAAAATAATACCCTTTTATTTATGGAAAATCATTTTCTCATGTTGTTGGAGATTGTTTTCTCATGTTGTCAGGTATTGAAATCTGTGCTATCTTTTTTCTTTTTTTTTTAACAAGTGGTGGGACCTATCACTTGTTGTGTTTATAGCATGAGAGATGTTATCTCATGTGACATGAGAAAAGAGAAACCATTTATTTATTTAGGTACAAATCATTAACTTGTTTTTACTCCTAGGATCTATGAAGCACGACACTTCAAAAACTCTTATGTGTCATGTCCGATACCTCTCGACACTCCAACATGCGTTGTAGAGATTCAAAAAAAGGATCAAATGTTGTATTATGTTGCGTTTAGTTCAAACTATTAGATTCATTGGATTACGATTACTATTCTATTGAGTTTAATATAAATATTTGGAATATCTTATGTATCTTTGCAAAATTGATGGGTATTATAAGTGTAGTTTCATTAAACTATTGAATATTAAATATAATATACACTACATAAATTAAAAATATTATTTAATATCAAAACGTGTCCTAACGTGTCGAAATCTAATATTTTTTAAAATTAACTTGTCGAAGTATCATATCCCGTATCGATATTGGTGCAACATAGCCTAGGATGACTGAGGTAATTCTTTTGGCAACTCCAGAACAAATGTCTATAGTAAAAAAGAACTATTATCAACCCATTAGATTTGGTTTAGTGACGAGGGGTCTGGGTAGTTTGTATTAAGTATATGCTCAATTCTCATTTGTATTTAAAAATAAAAAAATAAAATATTATCAAATAAAAAGTAAAAAATCACAATAAGTTAATTATATATCAAGTTTTAATCCAAAATCTTAAGATAATAAATTTATAAAATCCCTTTCATTTATATAGTTATAACTTACTTCAGTCTCGACTAAAATAGAACTCCCTCAGAGTTGAATTTACAATAAAATTTTTTTTTTTATTTTTTGATAGTTTTTTTTTTTTTTCAAAAAGCTGGGATTATTAGTTTAAAAAAAATAAAAAATAAACCCTTCAAGTTCTACTTTTTTTTTAAAAGATGCATAGCAAAAAAAAGTGAATCCAAACGAAATCTCGGTAATGACTCTTCTTGTTATTTGCAAGTTATATTCCGTCTTTGAAATACACACAGGAGGTAAGATAGTTAAGAGTCATCAATTTCCAACATATGTCTGCATAATGATTTACTCCAATATGTGGTTTTATCTTAAATCAAGATCAACCTCCCTCGGATGACAAGAGAAGCCATGTGAACTTTACAATCCTTCAAGTTGGATGCTCTCTCTCTCTCTCTGTATTCCGCATTCTAAGTCCAAGTTATTGTGGTAGTAATGGCTAACAGCAAGAAAAGTCAAACAACCCTATTCCAAAATCCCCAAAGGAAAATTTTCACAACAAAAATAAAGAGAAAGTGACCAATGACTCCATGGGTACGTACCATGTTACTTTTGAAAATGTCTGATCTCATCCGGATTTTAAGACCCAATAGGATGGCCCACTGGACCAAGATGAAAACTCTCCCACAGCCCACATGCATCACCAATAGATCGCACATAATAATAATGCCATAAACTTCCATCCATTCCACACTACTCCAGATATCATGAAAACAGATGAAGATAGATTCCTATAACAATTGCCCAAAATTCATAACTTGCCAGTGCAATGCTAACACAAACCTCTTTCTTCAGAGTAAGAATATCAACTATCAAGATATATAAAGATAAAGTCATAAAACATGGTAAGAAACTAATTAAGGACATCAAAAATTAAAATTAAATCTAAGAACATGGGAAACATTTTCCTTGATCCCAACCAAAAGTACATTAAAAAAAAAAAAAAAAAGCCAAAAAAATTAAACAAATCTAACTAATGGGTCTGTGGTAAAAAAAAGAAAAAAAGAAAAAGAACCTAACCTAAGGTCCATCACAAAGGATTCATTCATCATCTTCATGTTAATCAACCTCCAAACTTTGTCTTCTCCTTCTCCAACTTTTCAAAGAAACCAGCAAGAGCCTTCAAGGCTTTAACTTGATGCTGCAAGGCCACTATATACCCAGCAGTTTCATCAAAAAGCTTGTCAACACCAAATGATTCCCCACCAGGCACAATCCTCTGCAATGCATGAATCTTACTCTCTACCTCTTCCCTATCATCATCTTCTTCTTCTCCATCTTCTTTGACAAGACATTCACAACCATTCACATTCACTTCCTTCACAGTTGTCACTTCCTTAATCTGCTGCATCTTCAGTTCCCTGTTACCCTCTCTCAACCTCCTTATTCGGCTTCGCCGGAAAACATGCAAAGACTTGTGAGTTACCATAGGAGAGTTTTGCTCTGGTTTTCTCAGGAACGAGGGTATGATTCTCTGTGTTTCTTCTGTATTTTCATTTTCCATGGATGTATATAATATATATAATAGTGAGAGAGAAAATAAAAGAAAAATATAAAAAACAGAGAGAGAGAGAGTGTGTGTGTTTGTGTTTTTGAGTTAATGTTGGGGAGTTATATGATATGAGATTGTGCTTGTGAATTGTGAAGATGAATGAGTGAGTGAGGGAGGGAGGGAGGGAAGGAGGAAGATGTAAAATTATTGTTGAGCTCTAGAAATGTCAATGCCAACGAAGCTGGTCCCACTCGTTTTGGCCTTACAATACAACGAGCCCTCAAGTTTTGGATTGGAGTAATTTGGTGACCTTCACGCTCCACAACAAGAGCGTCCTCTTACCTCTTCATTTTTTACCCTCTTCTTTCTTTCTATATTTTTGTTTTCTTATATTTCACATAAGATAGATTCAATGAAGGGTTTTATTAGTGTTATGTTACATGATTTAAGTGTTGTTTCCAACACACACAAAAAAATGAAGAGAGAAAGTGGAATGATGAAAGAGAAAGAAAAATATGTGGACCTCACCTCTTTAATGTGTGTGTAGGAAAATAATGTTATATCATGTTACGTGATAATTCTAAAACCCTTCCATGAAATTCTAAACACCATTAGAAAACGTTTGGTCTATGGGCAAATATTTTCTAATGGAGAACTGTTTTTTTGTTCTGTATGATTAAATTAAAATTTGTAAGGGGTGTTTGATAAGGAAAATATTTTGAGATTAAGTAATAATGGTAATTTTATTTATCTATATTTGTTATAAGGTTTTAGGAAAAAAAATTCACGAATCTAATTTTTTTGAGATTTTATTTGGCTTTTTCACCCTTTTATCTTTCATAATTAATTAATAATTATTTTCTCCTTATTCAAAACTATCTACTAATCTGTTTCTCTTTAATCGATTAACTTGAAGATTTGATTTGATTAAATCTTCAAGTCAATCATTTTTTTTAGTTTTGACCATTTAATCGATTAAATCTTCAAGTTAATCGATTCAAGAAGGATATATTGGTAGATAGTTTTAGATAAGGAGCAAAATTGTTATTAATTAATTAATTAATGACAAAAAGGTAAAAAAGAACTGATTTTATTTTGTGTATAATTTTTATTTCAAAATGTCATCCAAAATGGTATTCTTGAAATATCATGTGTTGAGAAAATTTTATATTTTTTTTTGGAACAAAATTCGAAAAATATTTTGGCATATTAAATAATTTCTTGATAATATTTTTAGAAAAGTAATTTTTTCACTATATATTTTTGAGAATCATAATTTTCGAATATAAAAAATTTATCGTCTATCCATCACCTCTTACTCCATTTACTATGTTTTATATGTCTAATCGTGTGTACTATTATGCAGTTTTAATTAATTAGCAGCTTTTTACATTTGATTTTGAATTTCTAAGAATAATGATTGTATTTAACTACACAATTTAACATATGTATATTTATTTATTTTATTTAGCTGACATGTATTTATTAATAAATATAAGGTCAAAATTATGTTTATAACTTTTTTTATTTTAACTATATATTTCAAAGAGTAAAAATACTTGAAAATGTACTACAAATTAAAGTTGGAAAAATTGTAACGTAACCCTTCCCTAAATATAAAATGTTACGGTACTTTAATTACTCACCATTTCTTTCATAAGCAATATTATCAAAATTGATCCGATTCGCTCGGTACCACGGGTAGAATCGGGAATCAGATCACTAGCCGATCCAATTTAATCAATTAACTGACTATACAAAGTTACATCACTTTGGTTGATATATTATTTTTATTTATATATTTATTACATATTTTTACATAAATTCAATGTAAGTATCTCAACTCATGACTCACTGTTTGAATTATTGATCTGTTGATCTAATATCCTGATTGAATTAATAATTGGTTCGAATTTAATAACATTATTCATAAGAGTTTGAAAAAAAAAAATGAATCAATAGTCTTCTAATATTTCTATGGATTTCAAAGTAGATAACTCACATCATAGCACAAATGAGATATTTATGGTCTTTCGTACACATAAGACATAACAAACACAGCATCTTACTAACGCTTTATAAATATCTTGCAATTGGATTGTACGGATTCTTAGCCAGTAAGATTCAAATGTTGGTTTTGGGTTTGAGAGAGAAGCAGACGCGCAAGTAAGATAGTGAAAATGGAGAGCTAAAAGTGAAAGTATAAAGTTTAGAAATGTGACTGAAAATGCAACCCCGTTAAGGGGTGAGGTGAGGATTGATTTGTGGAGATGTGTTGTGTGAGTGAGAGCGTAAAATTAAAAAAAAGAAAAAGAAAAAAAGAAATGGTCCCACAAGACACAAAACAAAGGGAAGAAAGCACATGTGCTCTCACATGAATTCCTTGAACCTAACACCCACCCATGTGCCTCTCCACTCTCTTCTCTTTCATGTGCTCTATGATCTGCATCACCACCCTTCGCATGAATTCCACGTGTCCACTTTCCAGTGACCCCACCTTGAGCCCCAAAAAACCTCCCCTAACCCTATTAGGCCAAATCAAGCATGTAATATGCCACAACCCACAATCATATCTATTTCCAATTTCCAACTCATATCAAATTAACAAGTGGGGAATTTAAGGAAATCTTGATTAACTAATTATTCATTGATGATGAGATAAAAGAGAGAAAAATATATAATTTTTAAATGAATGATTGTGATCAAATAACATGATCACATGACTACTTTTTCACATGAGAGAATCTATTCTCATTTTACTCACATAACTAGAAGAAAGAGAGCAAAAAAGAAATATGAATACGGTATATTTTCCTTTTATTTTTAATTAATTATTCAATAAAAAATTTAGTTTATTTTAAATTGTTTATTACTGTCAAAAAATTAAAATTAGATTTTTTATTTTATTATCTCTGCTAATTAAAACGATACAAGAGTAATTGAGTGAAAGATTAATATAATGAAATATATTCATTTGTTTTTTAAATTGAATGTATTTAATATTTTTTTAAATCTTTACACAATATTTTAAACGACAATTATTTTAAAGTAAAAAATAATTTATTAAGCGATTGATTTGATATATGTAATTTATTAGATGATTGCTTGTATGGTATCAGTAATAACAAATGAATAATATCAACTACCTTACATGACAAATTTTATTTGAAAAATTGCAGCACAGATAATAAATTTTACAGAACATACACAAAAAAAGTGAGACACTACGCATTAAAAAAAATGGATCATTGATGGTGAGCAAAAGATAAAAGAACAAAGAGAACCAAAAATAAAAAATGGTGATGAAATTAAGTTTATGAAATTTATAAGAAAGTTTATTCATATAAAAAACATAGATGTTTTCAATAATAATAAATTTATAAAATTGAATCTTATTTCACGAAAAATTACTTTTCTTTGTATAACATTCATTTCCAAGTATTGATATTTACAGATTGTTATCATTGTTTCACTATTGTGTAGATTTTTTATTTCTCAAACTATAAATTACTATTTAATTTATTTTCTCTTTAACGAAATCTCTTCTTTATTTCTAAATCTCAATTTTGTCACTTTCAAAATAATTGCTTTCAATTTTTTTACATTAAGATTTTATTTTTCTTCTTCAATTTTAACTATTTTTTTACATTAATTTTTATTTTCACATTAAATTTATTTTCTTCTTAAATCTCAACTGTTTTGCTTGTATTAAATTAGAAGTAAGAGACTTGATCTTTTTGTCTACTAATCCTTAAGAATGACACATGTCATTCATAACTTTTCTTTTTGAATTAATTATGCACATCTCTTCTATAAATTTAAGCCTTTTTCCTTTTAATTTGCATGTATTAAGTGAAGAATCAGAATTCATTATACTCAACATCTAAGTGCGTGTATGAATTAACATGTATTTCGAAAATGATTTTTCTTATAATTTTTTAGTGAAAATTAAAAAAGAAATTATTTCCATCTTGAAACAATCATGCACTATAAGTTTGATATGATAAAAAATTTATGATAGGAAGGGATGTATAAATAAGATGGTAAGGTTACTGATGTATGTTATTTTATAGTGATTGGGTTAACAGCTTTAGTGAGCTAAGGTCCCCTGTGTTTGGTGATGGTGGCCCTGAGAGAGTGGGGTGGAGAATCAGAGAAGGGAGGTGGTGGTGTTTCCAAGAAGGAAACCAATGGGTGTATTGGGTCATTGGGATTGTATTAGAGATTTTGTTGTGTTGGGCATATGGGACTCCATGTGCTCAGACCCACTCGGATCCCTTTGTTCTTGTCACATTCACACACTACACTCCGTTTTATTTAATGCCCCCCTTTCAATATTTTCAATCCCATTTTCTTTCTTATGGGGGGTAATGGGGATCCGTACCACCATTTCTTGTACGAAATTGGATCATATAGTTTTATAATTGATGAGAGAGCAGAGCTATATTATATAATCGGATTAATATTTCTCGTGTAGTAAGAGATAATTTTTATCTCTTACACACATAAAACTGTGTGGGGTTTATATTTTCTTTTTCTCTCTCTTCTTTTCACGTGAATTTACACACTTTTACGTGTGTGTAGAAGATAATTTTATCGTCTACAATATAAAAAATATTAATCTCTTATATAATATAACATAGGACATCTAATTTAATTGTGCAAATGTGTGGACATCCTATCTGAGTGTGTTTCTGTTCACATTTTAGATCCGAACTTGTCTCTCTGTTTATCTATTGATCCTTGCTCTTGTTTCGATATATAAAGATGCCTAAAATCATCTTTTCCTGAAAGCAAATGAAACTCTCACATGGTAGGCCTCTAATGAATGATGCATGATGATATATGTTTCTATTTATTTATTTATTTTGCACACTAGGAGGATATTAAAAAAAATTGATAATAACCACCGTAGTCAATCTAATTATGATAATTATTCTAAAGAAACGTCTTATTTTACCAGAAATTGTTGCTTTTCAACAAATATAGATAGAAGGATCGAACATTATTGAATTAATTAAAGAAAAATAATGAGTGTATGTATATAAAGGAACTAGGCATGGTACTACCACAAAGGTTCAAAGTTGAAACAAGAAGAGAATATTCATACTTGGTATTGTAGAGGGAGGGAGGGAGGAATGAGGATTTCTGAATCTGTTTAACTTAATGATCAGCACATGAACTCACTGACTCAGACTTTAATCTGTGAGCCCCGCTGTCTGCAGTTTGCATCTATGGTGCTTGCATATGCAGTTAATGCCAAAAAATCTACAAAGCGACCAGATCCAATTGCATTATCTCAACTCTCTTTTTCAATAATGTTTTTTTTTTTTTTTTACCCTTTTTTTTTCACATTCTTGTTAATGCAAAATATTTATATTTGACATTAATGCAGCATAATTACCAAACTCTTATTGAGGCAGGAGTGATCCACCACGTTATTTGATAGGTTAGTAACACAAGTCTCTTTGCATCATTGCCCTTTCCACTATGAAATTCTGAAAGATAGCCTCCACATACAAGATAATCTCATCCTGTATAGATAGGGCCTCCCTCTGTAACTTCCTCCGCAGGGTAGGCCAATATAGCTGGCTCCATGAGTTTGAGGGTGGCCACATTTTCAAAAATCTTATGTAATAGAGTGATGTCGTGTTCCATCAAATATGCTCATACTATTATTTGAAGTTTGATTCCATTTCTTCATTTATTTATTAAATTTAAGGAAATGATGTATAAGCAACAAACCTACTTTCTAGGATAAATTATTATTGTTCGTGGGTGAGCAAGATTTTGTAGAATCTGAGCCATTGAGAAAAAAAATTTAAATGGAATCCAGTTGTGAAAGAAACTAGTGAGGAATCTGTTTGTTTGAATAATGTTACTCACTTTCAAACATTTTTTAAACATAAAAATTCGAATACAAAATAACAAAGCCAACAATAGTTAAACAATAAAATCCCTTTATCTCTGTGTATGTATATGTTTTTATTTGAAAAAATAGAGTGAATTAAGGAGGTTTTAAAATATTTTACGTAACAGCCCACTTAACATGACTTATTTTAGTTTCATTTCTTCTAGTGAAAATGATCTTATTTTGTTGGAATAGACTTATTTTCAAAAGGAATTTTTTTTTAATAGACTATACTAAACTCATTTGGAGGAGAAAGCTGGCCTTTATCAGCTATGAAGTTCAGATTTTCTGACAAAAGTTAAGTTGCCAATTTAAGATTTTTTACGCCATGTTTAAAGATTAAAATTGCCCGTAATCAACAAACTTTATAGTTCTCATTTTGTCAATTGTTGCCCAAGTTTGCACACTAGTGTGCAGCGAAAAGTGACTAAACATCTCTGTGACAAAGAAAGAAAGGATGGTGTGGATTGAATTGCATGATAGGACTTCTTCTTTTTTGGTACAATCATAAGACTCATTTCACTTCCAAAGTTTATTGATAGCTGTAGTCAAAGTTTACTGCGTTTGACCAGAGAAAGCCGGTTCTTACTGGGGAAGCACTAACCCATGTCATGTTACACAAAGAACCACCAGAGACTACAACTCCTCGCCACTAAAAAAGAGCCACTCGTTGCTCCACCTGGCTTAAATATTCACAAGACAAGCTTCTTCTAGAACATCCTTGTCATGCCATACTGAACAGGTCCAACCTTTCTATGAGTAGTGGCACCAGCAGCAGCACTAATACCACCATATTGAGCCTTTGACTGCAACAAGTTTGTGTCAATGACTATTCGATCCTCCTTTTCTATCTTGTTCACTCCTGCCCTTGTCATAAAAAATGGGTTGGTATCAATATTCACAGCTATATCTGGTGCTATTTTGGCACTGACTACACATTGCTGGGCAAGTTTTGCTTGTAAAGACACACCATTGTCAGCTTCTGTTGATGACCTTACTTGATTTCCAGAGCTACTAGATCTTTGATAATAATATGCAGGGGGAATAGGTTGAGAAGGAAGAACAGAACCTCTTATAAATGTCCTTGGATCATATGAATCCTTGATAACACTCCCATACTCGAATGGAATAACTGGACCACCAACTTTACCGGGTTTTGCTGAAAAGAAAAATGTTTGCGTATTGATTACTGATAATGCACATAAACTTAACAGACTACTATAATGATAACAATCACATACCTAGTGGAATCCTTTGCGGTCCCTGAATGTATTGATTACTGATAATGCACATAAACTTAACAGACTATAATGATAACAATCACATACCTAGTGGAATCCTTTGCGGTCCCTGAATGGACCTTGGCACAGGATTTTCTGTATCTGTGGAATTATTATTATATTCCTCAGCTGTTTCCCGGTTTTTGCAGGATGCAATATTTGGCTGCTCTTTTTGGGGTACCATATTTGAATGTACAATTGTTGACCTGTCAATAATTAAAAAAAAAAAAAAAAAGATTCAGATTATGTAATCTTTGATTCTTTATGCTCTTTATGAATGAATAGTTATAACCCAAATGCCCAGTGGTATATATGACTATATGTTCAATAACAACATTGACTACAAAGTGTAAACACTACTTTGACACAGTATTCTGCTGTGTAACAACATTCAATAGATTAAATTAGAACTCACTTGCATCACCAGAGTCAGCTGCCTATACCAGTTTCTTTTTGCATATGCATAATCTCAATGCATCTCATATGTAACTTTTATCCTATAATTTTCAATCATATCTTAAGTATAATACAATATAAGTGACCTTTTGTCAACAACATAATACATTAACGAATTACCTGGGAAGTGATACATGCTTTCTTTCAAGAGGCATAACTGGACCATTTTTACCACCAGATTCCTCAAGATGAGTAAACTGCTTTTTGAATTGATCAACAGCACTATAAAGAATATGCACCAATGAAGGCTAAGCAGAGAATCATAGGGTAGAACATAACATATGAATTAAAATATTAAGGGAAAAAAGACAAAACAGTTGAAAATAAACCAAGAAAATAAAAACCTTGGATAAAGAAAATTAGTTCTCTCTGTTCCATTTTTGTAGTCTTTCAATAGTTGAGGGTGGTACTCTAGAATCTCCCGGAAAATTAGCTCTCGAATTTCTTCCTTTGTGACTCTTCTCCTTTCAAATTCAAACTCCATTTTTGTAATAGGCTGGCAGGATGGTTCCCGCTCAACTCTTGCAAGTCCCTTGAAGTAAGGATCAGCTAATGCCTGAAAAGTGAAAACATCACATCCTTTAAAATTCACAAGCAAGGAAGTAACATATGGTACATCAATATACTTGCTCTGTGATTAGTTATACCTTCTATCGTCCAAAGGAAAAGCATAAGCTCAAGCAGCAGTTAATTATCTGACTAAAATAATTTTCAGTGCACACACTTAAGCAATAGAGCACAATATAACAAACCTCTTCAGCAGTAGGTCGGTCTTTTGGATCAAACGCGAGTAACCTTTCCAGTAGTCTTAGCGCTAAAGGATCTGCATTAGGAAATTTTTGTGCAAATTGAACAGGCTGCTTTTTCCTCATACTAGTAAGGTATCTCCTTGCCTTATCATTGCGTACCTGCATCCATAACAAAGATTGTCAACAGTAAAACCATGATTTTGGTGGAATTAAGTTAAGCAATACAAACAGTTCTACCACTATAGAGGAAAAAGAAAAACAAATTACCCGGGAAATAGTATCCAATGAGGGAGTCCCTAGCATATCTGTCATCAGATCCAACTGATGGACAACATTTTTTCCAGGAAAAAGTGGCTTTCCTATTAATACTTCAGCAAAGATGCAACCTATACTCCATATATCAATTGCCGGAGTATACTGCAATCAACACCTTACCTTTAGCTTATTAGCAGATGTAAAACTAACAGAAACAGATATAACAAGTGGATTATTAATAAACAACAAATTGGTCTCAGGAGTCAGGTCTTACGTTTAGCTATTGATGGAAAAGAAGATAACAGAAAGCATGAATCATGGGTTGATATGGAATTTCTACATACAAAGCTAATGAGCATGAATTAGAGTATGGTGAGTCAAGACTACACAATGTAGGTTCTCTCCCACTTATAAGAAAATAATCTTGAAAAAGCCATACCTTTGAGTAAAATGATCCGCAGAGCTCTGGTGCTCTATACCACCTTGTAGCAACATAATCCTATAGGTACGCATTATTTAAGCAAGAAAACATCAGCCCCTACTTTACCTAAGCTTTTGATATGAGAAGTTAAAAATAATATCTAGCAAAGCTAGAAAAAAGGTAGGAAACAAACAGAGATAATGTTGGAATGGAATACCGTCCAAAATACAGTTGTTGGTGTGTCACTGAAAGCAACTCTAGCTAACCCAAAATCACAGATTTTAAGTTTACAGTTTGCATTGGCCAGTATATTCTTTGGCTTCAAGTCTCGATGATAGACATTTGCTGCATTGTGTTGATAAGTATAAGAATAGCAATATTGACATCAATGCCAGAAAATTCATGTTGAAAACCAGACAAAATAAAATACAAAAAGGACAAATGAATGACTGAAATATTTTGGCGAAAGTACTACGCAAAAATAAGAAGATCCAGGAACAAAGTGGAAAAAAAGGTCAACAACAGCAACAGTTATGAAGACAATATACAAGAGCCTGACATCTTCATAGATGCCGCGCAATGCAGTTTCAATTACAATTTATGAAAGTGACAAACACAGGGTAACCATAAGTAACACAATGTGCATTCAAATAAGATATTCATGAAAAGTAACTATTAGGTATAGAAGAATACCGGTGTGAATATACTTCAATGCTCGAAGTAACTGGTAAAGAAAAAACTGATAGTGCTCTTTCGTTAAGTCATCATTGGCTTTAATGACCTGATGCAGATCAGACTCCATGAGCTCAAAAACAACATAAATATCTTTGAAGTCCCTCCTAGAAGGAGGCAGCATGATGTGTTTAATTTCAACAATATCAGGATGTCGAAGAAGCCTCAGCAACTTTATCTCACGGAGAATACGAGCAGCATCAGATATATGCTCAAAGATATCATGAATCTTTTTTATTGCTACTTTTTCACCAGTGTGTGTGTCAATGGCTGAACAAACAACACCATAACTTCCTTTCCCAACAATTTCTTGAATTTTGTACCGGTTGGCATCGCCATATTCAGAGAAAAATTCCATCTCCATCGAACACTGTAGCAAAGATATTAAAAAAAAATTCCACACAGAAAAATCAGGTAAGCCCAAATTTGATTGTCTGAGAACATTAATAAATCAGGCTGAAGCAACAAACGGAAAGCAAATTTTTAAAACAGATAGATAGAATTAAAATAAAACAAGATATCACAATTCTTATGACAAACCATTAAACATAAAACAATTCTTATGACAAAACCAATCTTCACTTCAAGATCCAAAACCTTTTTCTCTTGTCCAATTCTTCCCATTCCACTCATTCACCAATGTACAAAAAATGATTTTGGAGAGTCAAATGTGTATAATGCACCTAATGCGTGCAAAGCACATCTCAGAAGACGTAGAAAGAAAGAAAAGCAAAAGGGTGGATTGAAGTGGAAAGAACAACCCCGGGAATGCCATCTAACCAGTTAAAAGAGGAAGCATGTAAATTTCATCATCCAAGACAAGACCACAAAAATAAATGGTGAAAAAAGAAGATCTTGCCAACCATGCCGTTATCCTCCTCAGGTAAAAGAAACGTGGGGGAAAGAAATTATATCACGTGAAGGACTAAATATCATGAGAGAGAGCTAACATGCCCCCATGGAACAAACTCAGCACAGGCTTAACTTCAGAGGACTCAAAATTCTCGGTAGTACCCACCAACACAAAACAAAACAAGATTTAACTTTTATCATTCAGTTAAATCCAGCTTTCTCACAAAAGGGTACCATGAGCATTCAGTCACACATAAAAACTTGAAAAAGCAATATATTTTTTTTCAAGCAAATTACAGTATTTTATGATTAGGGCTTGGAAAATGATAAGCATATGGAGAACAACAAATCCACCTTTTTTTTGTGATCTTGCTGCATTCTCTGGCAACAGCTGCAAAGTCTCCAAAAGGGTCCTATTGGGTAAAGATGAGGCACAACACAACAAACTCAAAACAAAGAAAAGGTGTCAAATTTCACAGGAAAACTCAGCCACATTTCCCCCACCTACCCCTGCTCCGGATCACAAGCCCACAATCTGAGTTTATTCTCTTCCCCAAATCCTTCGAGAAACATAGAATCCAAATGAAACCCCACATGCACCTTTCCTCCAATTCCAACACCAAACTGCTGAACCAGCCACCACCCACAATCATAAAGCGACACAGCTCCAAACAAGTGACAAAAACTCACTCATCTTTCACCCCACACCCACACAAAGATCCTTCTTCTTGAATGAATACCCAGTACCAAGCTTCCACCAAAAAAACAAACTTTTGATGTTGCAGCCGAAGAAGGAGTGACAAAATTTGAGAGCTGTATGAGGAGGATTTTGATGCTTCTTCGCGGAAGCTTGTGAAAATAGGATAGGAATATAGGATTCTAATACCGAAGTGGCATTTATGTTAATTTGTGAAAATGTGGAGGGTACTTTAGAAATTCAATTTCTTGAAACACAATTGTTGACATCAAAGAAGGCACATACTGTTGTAGAGTTACCTGTCTTGTTCCCTTTTTAAGTTCAATGCCCTAGGGTATGTGACCAACACGTGGCAGGTTTTGAGAGGTTAAAGAGAAAAATACATATTAATTTTTTTCCTTTTAAATTTAAATTTTTAACTTAATTATACTACATATCTTCTTTATAATTTAAAATTATTAATTTATATTTTGTACGATCTACCTAGAATAATTATCATTTATGAACTAAAAAAAAAACTATCATTCAAGCTGTTAAAAAAATAATTATCGTACATTCTTTATATTTATAAATTCTCTCGCATTTACCATGTCGGGGTATTAGGTGTCTTTTCAGTCATTTGCTTACATTAATCAATCACAAATTTGGTTATAATGTAAAAAACGTTGAAAATTTTTGTACCTTGTCATGTTCTCGAGTTAAAACGGCTATTAAAAATTGAAAACTGGGAAGAAGAGAGAAGTAAAATAAAATTGTTGTTAAAGCTAAAATGCCGACAATTTTGTAACCAAGTCATAATTTCTCAAAGTTTAATTAAATTTAGTAAGATTAGAGTATAAATGAAGGGAGTGAATCATCTCACGTATTATTTAATATGATCATAGTATATGAGAAATTCTTATCCATATAAAGATAAATTAATTGCGTAATAAAGGAATAAAAAAAATTATGATAGGAAATTATAAAATTATTACTTTTGATTTGTTCATTAATAATTAAGATTCTCTCGTGTTAGATTGTCATGCTAGAATTTATTTTCATAAATGAATAATGCAATCTCTTAACAATAGATAGCCTGTCTTAGCGTGATTTTACCTATTTAAAAAGTGAATCATGTTTAAATTTATTATAAGTCATGTATTTATTTTGAAGAATATGGCTTTTACGTCTCAAGACTAGCTCATATTTTTAAATAAAATGATATTTTATTATTATTTTTATTTCTAACCCTCCCTTTTTATTTTTGAGTTTTCTTAAGATCTCTCTCAGTCGATAGCCAAAGACTAATTATTTTGAGACTTAGACATTACCGAAGTGGATTTTGTCTCTACTAACAAAAAAAAATTATACTCTCGATCAGGGATCAAACTCCTATCAGCATGCTTAAGGGATCCAATCACCTACCAATTGTGATGGACTTTGTTAGTAAATTTAAAAGAAACAAAATAATTATAATTTTTGAATTTGTAATTTGTATTTTGCAATATATCATCTTTAAAAGTTTAGTAAGTTTGATAGACTCGACTTTGTATATTTTTAAAATAAGTCAAACTAAATTTATAATTTAACTTATATTAAACTAATAAGCCAGGTCAACCTTTTTATATAAATCTACCCTAATTATGTTAAAATATGTTTTATTTGAGTTATTTATACCCTTAAATAAGATGAATATATTAGCTTGCACATCTGCATTACATATTTTAAAATTTAATATTTTTAAGAGGATTGTAAACAAAGCTCTTGAAATAAAAAATTTAAGAATAATATTTATACATCATTTCTATTACATTAATTTTATACCACAATTGCAAACTAGTCCGAAATTCGATTTGACATATGGGACTGGTCACAATCGTTGAATCTTTTTCTTTTTTTTTTGGTACATAATCGTTGAATCTTTTTAGTACAATAGTTGCTGCAACAGAATGAGAGGAAAGGATAATATATATATATATATATATATATATATATATATATCGATTCACTGAACTGAGAGAGTATATGACAGAGATAATATATAGCAATATAGCATTATAATTAATCTAGGAGATGATCTCTATAGAGAGATCTATAATAAAATAATAATAATCTGTAATCTTAGCATACATGTAATTTATTAGCTATCATCTTATACCCATTAGTTATTTTCTCGCATCGAATAAATGAGCTTTGGACATGCACATTGTAAGGCCAGAATTCGGAAAACAATATTAATTTGTTTTTGTTTTATATTTTTTGTAACTTTTCAAGACGATTAATTTGTTATATACTTTTTTTATTTCCTAGGGTTAGCTGTCTAATCACAAATAAGTATAGTCAAAGGTAAAAAAATCAGTTTCCAATAAAACTATCGCTTGTCAATTCGTACATTTTCGTTTTATAGCGTTGAGCATTCTTAGAAAAAAAATGCAGTTTGTCATTTTATTCTTGGAACCACAATAGTTAAAATTTTGATTTATATGATTTTACGATTTTATGATTTTTTTTAATTATAACTATTTTACCAGAATTCTAAACGTTTTTACGATTTTTTATGATTTTTTTTTACGTTAAGATTTTACGATTTGTGATTTTTTATCCTCCTTCCAATTTTAAATAGAATCTCAATTTTAACTACCATGTTTTGGGACCAATTATGGAAGGGAAAAAATAACTTATATAATACTAAAATTTGTAGACTTTTCAATTTTCTAAACGGCCATTCAAATAGTAAAATTGTAAAAATGACTTCATATTGAAATTGAAATCTTTGAACTGAAAAGATATGATTTTAACATGTCTCTTTCGTCCAATAAAACAAACCCATCAACAATTATTAATCCATCAATCAATCACCATGGCAGAAACAAAAACAATAATGCTTCAAAATATACATATTTTGCTAACGAGTAGAATACTTCAAACAATATTAATGCTTCTTAACCATTTCACCGACACTTTGTTTTTTTCATATTGGTTTAAAACTCTAAATTCTGGTATCGAGCAACATATTTTAACATCAATAATACAAATAAAATATAAATATTTTGTTATTTGATGTGATAAAGCATTTAGTAGTGGGAATACGTTAGTGATTCTTTAAACTTTAATTGAATGTATACAGACTTTAATTTGCAGTGACTTTTAGGCTTTTAGCAATTAAGGAGGGAGTAGCATGCGATGGGAACACTATTTTCTACTCAACACACATGCTTACGCAACGTAGCACCTGCAACGCGTGTTTCACGTTAACGCAACCACGCTATGGCCTCATGAACCAACACGGTTTCATATTATTAATCAACGGTTTGTTTTTTCTATATTCACTGCATATAAATTATCTATAATAAATTTAATATGACGTTGTTTTAAAATAAAAATTATAATATTTTTGTAATTTTAATTATTTCAAGATTATTATAGTCTTTGTAATTATAATTTTTTAATCTTTCAATCTCAAAACGACGTTATTTTAAAAATAAATGCAGATAATTTATTTACAGTAATTGCAGAAATATTTTTCTGATTAATCAATTGTTGTCTTTTTTATTTTTATTTTTTCCTGTTGAAAATCAAGGTTACTTTTTAGACAAGTATAAATAAATTGAAAGTTTAATGCAATGAAATTTTTATTTTATTTTTCAAAAAAGAAAAAAGAAAAAAAGACTAGCTAGGTAGGACCTAACAATAGAAACACCAGACGAATCAAGTAACCTGTGTGTTTGGATGCATGAAAGGTTGTGCATAACCTCCAATATGGACATTTTATCCGTCATGAAATGTATTGTTGGCGAATCACAAACCCTTCTCTCTCCATCTATGGCTTCATCTCATTCAATTCAACTTTAAATTAATACCATTGGCTTGGAAAAATAAAAAAAATAACATTAATTCAAGCTTCACTGGTTGGAGGTTAATTATGTGACGTAACAACAACAGTGATACAGTAACAATAAATTAAAGTATTGTATATCATATTATAGACTACGAACAATATAAGCTTGATCAGATTTAGATCTCAAACTTCCACAATAAATACATTTTATTAAAAAAAAAAAAAAAACGGTTCTCATACTTTGCTGCAACTTACAACTAAGGTCAATGGTGGCAATTAAAATCATGGTATAGGTTCATTGTTTTTATCATCGATCACTGATAAGTGTACAAGACACTATGTTTTTATGGTTAAAAAGAGTTCAAATAATAATTAAAATAACTAAAAATATAATGTTAATCAATAAAATATTAAAAGATAGTAAATTGCAAACAAATGGATAAGATCCTAATCTTTGTTGTTGTTTCAGGTTGTTTCACACTAGAATAACAAATTGCAATCAAGAAGGATAAAGGCAGTTGCAAAAGGATAAGGATCAAGAAAAATAAAGAATTAATCAAAATTAATCCTCAGCGAGCCTGGTCCAAATTAAAAAACCAATTTTTATTTCTATAAAAATGCACGTTAGGGCTCATTCCATTTATTCTTGAAATTGGAAGACGGAGGACACCAGAGCTCATGATGGTTGCGGCTTAGAAAAGGGAAAAGCTCCGTTCCGGACCTGAGGAGCGGAGAAACGGTCAAAGCTTCACCGTGGAGATCGGGTTTTATGTTTCTGTTATGAATCTTTATAGTTTCTTAGTAGCTTTAAATTCTGTTTTTATCACTATGCGTAGCTAATTTACTTTTAGTAGTTAGGAAGATACAGAACCAATGGGTTCTTAGTTAATGTTTATTTATTCTTATGAATTACATTCTTGTTTCTAAATTATGCAATCAATCTGATATTTATGCTTAGTTTTATTTATGACTTGATCATTCGTAGATAAACATATGAGTCATGTATGACATTAGGGATGTTGGTATGTGATTCTGATTGGTTGATTGCTGAAATTTGCACGATCTAGGGATTGACTTGTGAATTTTATAACTGTGAGTTCTTGCGTTAATGCTTATTTTATGAAAAAGTACTAAGGGATTAGGCTTTGAATTAGAATAAAGAATTAAATTACCAAGGGATTGGGATTTAGTCAATTATAGAAAGAACTGTTAATAATTTAATCTTGAATGTGATCGTAAGAATAGGAAACTCGTTAAGAAACCATAGGGGAAGTTGAATCCTAACTACGCCTTTTTATTGAAAACTTAAATC